TTAAAAATACACAATGCTCAACTACATCTGCGCGCACGAAGCGCGCGTTTTGTCATTTCTGGTCAAGTAAAATGCGATATTATAATTTTACAACAAAGTAAGATAAATGAAACTAATATACAAACTTTATGTCTACAAATAAAACGATGAATTTATGAACACGCGTTTAGAAAAATTACTTTCTGCGTACAAACGTTGTCGATAGAGAACATTTCTAAATTATTCACTTAGCGAGAATTAAAAAAGAATTAATTTAATAGAATTCTGTAAGAGAGAATAAAAAACAGTTATCGGAAACGTTAGTACGTTTAAATGGTTACCTTCCTCTGATTTATGGTTCTATAAATTGTTATCGGTTAACGCAGTTTTTTTCCAATAATGCAAAAAGCGATCTTCGGCTCCAAATACAGAGCTGGATAAAAATTTTGGCTTGAGCAATAATTTGCTAGTTTGTCAACCAACCACGGTAGTCATTTAATGGAGTAAAATGTAAAACTTTGTGAAACCGAGAAGAGACTCGGATAATCTTTACTACCAAAAGAAGGTAAGCTTAAGACACGAAAATCGAGTTGCACGTTACAAAAGCAAACAATATACAGTGGCAGAAATTTAATACACGTTTATCTTAGGAGACCACAATAGATTGGCACATCGCCGAGTGCACGGGAAAGGAAGAAAAAGTACGAAAGTATGAAAAATTTCCTTGTCACTTGACATCGTTTGCGTTTCAGTCTATAATTAATCCTTCCCGGCTCGCGGAAAGAGTCCGTCGCAGACGTCGGGAACGTAGGGCATACAGCGCCAGTTTGTACAACTGGCCTCCAGAGTTGAAGATTTTAATTTTGTGAACAATTCCGCCGGATGAGACATCGCCGGTAATTAAGCGGCGGAAGCCGGTAGAAAAACCTGAGAGTATCTCCCGGTCGAATCGAGCTTCGCGAGTCCTCGCGAGCGTGCACCGGCGCGCTGTTACGGCGGGCGAGCATTTACGAGCGACGTTACCACCGGCGTCCCGCCGGAGCAGACTACGTACGTCACTTTACTGTAATTACGAGTGAGCTTAATGCGCGCTGCGAATGATACCTATTTGCAAGCGCCGGTGGTGCATTACGTCGGATACCTTTCGACGTGCGCGCGTGTGTATACACGTATATCGACTCCCCGTATTAATGCGGCTAAAGTCCGAAACACCGCCCGTCTGCGTCGATATTTCAAAATCGCTGCCCGGGATTGGAGAACGTAGAAATGCGATTAAACTTGATTTTCCGGCATTTAATTAACAATCCGGTGGAAGGCTCGTTTCGCTGATACGCCGCGCTGCAAAAACGTTTCTGTTATATTTATCAACGCGGAATTTTTAATCGTCGTAAATACGTAATTCGCCAGTTTTCTGTACGAAACGCGTTAATGTTGGCTGCAAAAATATTAATAAGTGACACGGAGGCTAATACAATTAATTTCGTGAAAAGGCTTGGGAAGTGCTATTTTCTAAATGTCCCACAACTCCTCGTTTCTATAAAACCGTAATAATTTAACGCAGACCCTACTACTCGGTTCTGAATAATTCGGAGGATGCATTAAACAAGATGCATTAAACAAGATGCATCGTCGAAACACATTTCTTCATTTTCTTAAGCGACGTGTCACACGCTTCCGCCGGTAATGAAATCGTGAAAACTGCTTCCAAGTTTTCTCGAGAACGGCTTTACGGAACGACCTGAAATTCTTACAGTCGACGTCTGATTAATAAAGGAACGAAGCGCGGTTCTCCGTATTTTTTCTGATTTGAAAAAAATATTATAGATTCCGCGTGGTAAATAAACCTGTAATTTTTTTACAAAAACCGGAAAAACGCGGAGTACCACTCCGTTCGTCTGTCAATCGGACGTCGATTATAAAAATTTCAAGTCATTCTGTAAAGCCGTTTGCGCGAAAAATTGCAAGCGGTTTTCGTGATTTCTTTATCGGCGGAAGCGAGTCTTTCACAGTATACTATCGCCCAAGTGAGAGATATTTTCTGTAACGTCCTGGAATAATTTTCCTGCCGAGAAAGCAAACTTGCTTTACAGCCGCAGACTAATGTAGTTTAGATACGTGGGGATGAATAACGTTCGCCGCACACCTTCGCCCGTGTGGCATCGACGAGTTTACCACCGTGTATGTTATCGCCGGCGTAGCTGAAACCGCCACTGCCGCATCTGCTTGAAAATTTCACCTCGCAACGTGATGTATTGCACGATCACACGCAATGGAGAGATTAAAAAGGCATTGTGACAACAGTATTGCCGTCTGCATACTATCTGCGCATTACTTTGGTCAAACAAGCGGCACGTTTGGATTATAAATTTTACAGATCGATGGAATCCGAGACAGAAATATGTTCTCCGCGTAACTGTTATCTTTTCTCGCGACTATCGCACGTGCAAAAATAAAAGACAATATAATAAAATAAATAACAATGGCTCGTATGATAAAAATCGAACAAAAGAAGCGGCTCAGTGCCAAGACAGGGTTGTAGAGTCGATGGAAAATTTAATTAAATAAATTAGTATGGCTCGTATGAGTTAATCACAAATTTCAAAGAATTTAAAGGACTCTGAGCCGTGACTGGGTGGTAGCGTCTAAATATTCTATTCTAAGTTTATTGCGAAAAAAATATCACCTCGGCCTAAATTTAATTAAATTAGACAATATCGACGTTTCGGTTCTAACTGGACCATCTTCAGTATATAAAAAAAAGATAACATAATAAATTAATGCATAAAAGATAACGGTATGCAAACAATGCAAAGGATTACGCAGTTCCCGTAAAAAAATAATTGCTGACACAGCAAATATGCGATGCTTTAGAACAACAAGCACCCCGGCGTTTACGTTCTCGCGGCAGAGAGATTTCAATAGCTGCATATCGAATCGCAATGGGCGCCGAGACATCGCGATGTCACCACGTGTGTCGGAAGCGGAAGCGCGAAACGCGCGCACAGGCGGCCGTTAAATTTCTCATTTTATGCGTCAAGGAACCTCGCCGTAAATCGCGGCTTATCGAGTTTAGCCTTCGACGCCAGAAATGCATTTATTCAGGTCGGCGCGACTGCTCGCCGGCGAGATGGGCGAAACCGTGTAGAAACTTTCCTTCTACTCAGGGGGGCTGATGACATTTCCGGAACCAGAAACTGGCTCGGCATTATCGTCCTGCCGGCGGACGGGATGTGGAAACTTGGGACATGTTGCGAGACAGCGCAATTTTTGAGGCGCGCGCGCGCGCGAACGTTAACACGCACGGCGAAACGTTCGTCCGACGGTTGGTCTCGTGTTAACGTATTTGCGGCGAACGCATTTAGCGGTTTTGGTAATAATAACCTGCGCCGGACGCGAACGTTGTATTTGTTCGAACGAACGTGACTTCACGGCGGCTCTTTAATTATGGAGATTATTACCTGCTGGCCGGGCATTCGCCAAAATTTATGAGATTAACGTACATTCGCCAAATTAGCTGTCGCGCGGCATCTGCCGGACAATTTAAAGTTTGCGAGATGATGGGCCGCGCTGGATCGATTAACGTTGTGGACAAACAATTTCTAAATTATTCGCCGGGTAAGGGAAGATTTCGAAAAGATAAATTTAAACTCCGCGAGAGAGGAGAAGGAGGAATATAGCTAGTGGAAGTATTGAGATATCTAGATGGCTACCTTTTCCTTTTTATGACCCTGTAAATTATTATCGCTTCACCCAAGTCTTTCTTGTAAGCGTCAAGTATGGAAGCGTGCGAAACTATTTAACGCCAAACTTCCATTCGACCAAACTATTTAACCGAAAGGTGATTTCTATGGTCGCGAGAGGACACGGAAAGAAAAATGTAGCTGCCGTAGCTGAAAACTGCATGTGCGATGGCAACTAAATTTTAGTTATAAAATATAAGTTAAGCGACGTGATGAAACTGGGCCTTGGTATACAGTTTACTAGTAAAATGTATGGTAAACTTTCAAAAACCTCTCATACAATTCTTCGAAATGCCATGTCACACAATTGCATGTTTTTCAAGGTAAATTTTCAGAGAAAGTCCTCTCCGCGTATAAAGTTTCGTTATAGCATCCAGCCATTGTATTCGGTGAAATAACTTAATTGCGGAAATTATTCCTGCTATTTAGAGACTTTGCTTTAGTTTAAATATCAAATGACATTTGCAGATCGGTAGAGCGAAAGTACTTTCAAGTGCGTGCTGCATTAACAAACAGTAGGTCCCCTCGCCGAACCCTCTTATCCCATTGTTTGCGCAAGCGAGGGTGCGTACGCGAAATGGAAAGCTCCGGAAAAGTGATCGCGGAAAGATGCTCGGTCTCGCACGCGGATCTCATTGTTTCCCTTCGCGTTATATATATCCACCGCGGTGTCCCCGCGAAAATTCGAGCAAGCCTGGGAATCGTGGTTACGTCAAACTGTACGCCGGGCTTCTGCCGACACTGTCGAGCTCGACTATTACTCATTCAATATTGGCCGGGAACCGCGCTTTTAAAGTGAGATGAAAGCGTGCACACGTTTTCTGTTTGACGGGAAGCTCGATTTACGGGCGAAATCACCCGACCGCCTTATCGCAAAACGTAAAAATAATCTGGAAAATTATTTACATCCCGCCGGTATCTCGTATTCATTAAAAAGAGACTCGGAATCACGCGAATGTATTTTAACGAAGAGTAGTATTTCATTGAAGCTCGTAAAGTAACGAGCTCGCCTTAAGGAGAAAGCGGCATTTTACCAGTTAAACGCAATATTAAGTCAGTTAATTTTTGCGTCTAATTCTCGGGGCACGGGTAAACCGGGTCTTTAATATCAAAACCTTTGAAGGGAATTTCTAGCGTCGAAAGAGGATCGGGTCTTTAACCAAAGAATTTCAGAAAGAAACGTGAAAGAAGCGTACGACGAGTTTGTACCTTTTCAATTTAAAGGAGCATAATATATTTTAATATCGTTCCAAGATAAATCTCTCTCGCAAATTATTGGGCACTAAACTTCATTTTTTAAAGCGCCTGATGGCATCGGTCCATACGGAAGCCAACTACATATGAAAGTTCTGCCATTAGTTTTATCAGCGCCCTGGCCAACCGAAAAAGTTTGAAGACGAAGAATTGAAAGCATTGCTCAACGAAGATCTTATATCAATACTTAAGAAACATAGATTCTCCTTTTGTCTCACGTGATCATCACGACGCTACGTTGACGGTTTAATAATAAGGACCAGATGCGATATCAATTATTTATTTTGCATTTTTCCGGAGAAATTGCACGTCCCCCTTTTAAGCGCGGAATAAGCGTAACGAGTAGCAATGCAGAGACATTTATATTACCTTTTGGCAGAAATCCAGCGTGTATTAGCCTCGCTTCCATGAGCAGAGAGGGTAGGAGGAAGCACATGGCCGTGCAGAGATGCACGAAGGCCGCCGTAGGACCGCCGTGTCTCCATAAATTATTCACCAGACCTAAAAAAGAGTAGTTATCACCCTGCTCAGCGTCTTTTCCGAAGTTATACATCCCAATTAGAATCAATCAATCATCTTTCAAATGTAAAACAGACGTTAGTCCTGATATATTTGGCTTCCTTTGTGCGCAGGCATTTAAATAACAGATTCGAAGGAACGAAGGAACAAGAGCCAAAACAGAATGTTAAATGTCTAGACAATTTTAATTTAAACAATTAATTTCTATAGATTTCTTATTCTTACATTGTATCAATTTATCGACACGAGATTGTACTTTACGCGCCGTGACGTGAAGCAAATTTTTTTTGAAATTTTTCAACAGACAACTATTTCCAGTAAATTTATCTAATTTTGAAACATATTAGATCTAGTTTAGCAATTTTTCTTTCCAATTTTCAAACTAATAATATTAAATACGACATCTCAGGTTATTGCATTGATTTCCGTGGTTTTGAGACATTATTAAACAACACACAAGAAGCGGCCAATGCGAGTTTAAGGCATGTAAGATAGTCTAGACTTGTAATTTATTAAAATCGACACGCAAGACAAATGTGGAAGGAAACGGTATATGAATTCACATTTGAATAAATTACATAGGCTATCTACGTCCTGCCTTAGATTCGCATTGGCCATTTCTTGTATGTTGTTTAGTTTTAATGACAGTCCTACTTTAACTCTGTTGTTTAAAATATTATGTTCAATATTTTCAATATTCACCTGTTGCAACAACACTTAAAAATAAAGTCACATAAACAAATATACACTATACGTATAATATTAAGTTGATTAAAAAACAAGATATCTATCGTATAATTAAACACAAAAGTTGTAAATTTTATCGCGTATGCAACATTTTTATACTCATGAAAGTAAATACAGGCGGCTATTGATTTTATGTCTCAAAAATAGAACACCTGACTATAATTACAAGTTCTGTAAATACATCACGTGTTTTTTTTTACACTCTACAAGCTCTTGAAATTATGGTCTACTTACTATTATCGGGATTATTAGTGAGAAGCGAGGATGGAGGATCGCGCGAACAAGCGCTCAAATGTCGGCCTAGTTTTATTCCGTCATTCGCAAGATTGCCGAGCTTCAGGAACGCCGCACCAAGCAGCACTGGAAGTAGAACGACTCCGGTGCCGGCTAGCACCAGGCAGGCGTACAATTCGATTTTAGGAGGCGGTGCGTCCGCTGGCCATGGTAGCGACAAGTAAGCTAAGAGAGTGGCATAAAAAAAACGCAAATAAAAAAATTATACGCAGTACAATTGAGACAGAAGAATGACACAGAAATCGGTGGAAAGGCAAATTAGTCTCTCGATTAAAAATCTTAACTTTTTCATATCAATTACAAAAATTCTATCGATTGTTGTGAATCGGTTTTGTGAGAAAGTATGACATATTAGCTTCTCTGTTTCAAATCTAATTACGATAAAAGAAGTGTTTCTCGAAGGGGAAATAATCTTACTTTGAGAGATCAAATTGCTTTCCTGATATCACAAGCGTTTAAAATAAAGAGGGCTAACGGAGGAAGAGGAAATCATTCGTTGCTCCGGAACTTTGGCCGATTAAAGAATTGCCAGGAAGCAACGTTAATATCCCGTTAATAGGGTGTTAATTCGTTTACGACTTCTTGGACCTGCAATCTACTCAACTAACAATTCAAACAATAACGTTCTATTAATTCCACCGAGATGGGCGGGATTAAGGTCGCCTCTCGGTTTGAAAAGAGATAGAGAGCAGGAAAAATTTCTCTGGCAATCCCGTTTCTACCGTGTGTCTTTTATGTAACGACCCCCAGTAACGGAAGCCCCGTACCAGCCGCCAGGAAAAGAAATTTACGCAAAACCGCCTCCGGAAACAGCCGGAAAATAAGGAAAGGCAGCGAACCATTCGAGACCTCCAGTCCAGAAGTTTTACTGATTAAAGTAACAAACGAAAGGAGAGGAGAAGCCCGTGGAAGCTAATACAATTTCATAATCGTTACATTGTTCGTTTTTATTTCTCAAAGTATCGATTTAAGTTCTCAAACAAATAATTTTGCGAATACAAAAGCGGCACGTCGCAATTATCGTAGAAGAGTTCGAAGGAGCGTTAGATCGTGGGAAATCCCATCGAGGGAAATTTTACAGTGCACACCGACGAGAGACTACGTCATCTACCGGATTCGATTCAGTTGCGCGTGGCAGTAAACAGGTGATTCGTCCGGAGGCGAAATCGCTGGTCAAACAAAAGAAGATTCCCGGATAATCCGACGCTGTTAACGCAATCGATCCCGCGGAGAGGCGTATTTTAGCGGGATAAAACGGGGGATGGGCGGCTGCTATCTTACCGGCGAATCGTCTGGCGTATCTCATTGCTATGTACGCCTGAAAAGCGACAGCCAGGATGCCGTACCAGACCGACCAGAGGCTGTTCACATGGCCGCGTATACACGACTCCTTCCTCGTAGATTTTCGCGCTCTCTTGGACTTGCCCGCGCTCGTCGTAACGCCGCCGGAGCTTATGCTCGACACTACCGGCAGCGGCTTCAACGGCTTCTTACACTTGGCCTGGTTCACATCGTTATTGTTTTCGTATCCCATTAAGCTCCCAGTCATCGACATTTTGTCCTGAAACATACAATTAAAAGCCCCGTGCGCTCAGTGTAATTGAATACAAACATTGTGCAGGATTTTACGCGGACTTTTTCACCGTTATTGAATTTTCCAGCTTAACGCCGTTCTCTCGCGAGCTTTCAACTCGTCAGCTCGTGCACCCTTGATAAATGAACTTGCAATTAGAATTGTCTTAAAATTGACACAATCGTCAAATCGCTTGTATCTATTGTAATCAAACGCGTAAAACCAAAATTAACGTTTTGCAAAGCTGCACGGAAAAAACTGATTTAGTTGATTCAGCAAATCTATAGTTTGCTGAACAAAATTAAACGTTTTAAAGAAGTAAATTTGCTAATGCAGCAAAGAAGTCGTGTGTAAGAGCAATCGTTACTTTGTTCATAAAACAAATTGATTTTTGTTGAAATTATCTTAGTTACTGCAACAAATCATTTTCGCTAAGTGCGAGACGTAGCTAGTGCCAGCCTCTAAGTAGTTCGCCGACCGCCGCTAGGCCGCGCATGGTATCGGCCAAAACTCGTAATCAAAATTCAGTCTCGTAGGGTATAAAGGGAGGCGTGGAAGCCAGGGCAAGTATCGCATATTGCGATCGCCACAATAATAATGGCAGAGTAAATGTTTTAATGAGCATTACTTTACCTAATTTTAATTGTTGGCGTAACTAATAATTTTGCTATAATAGGATTTATTAATGCACCTAATTTTCTTTTATGTAACAGCACAAAAATTAGTTATATGTACCAAGCTATTTTTTCCATTGGTTGTAGTAAAGAATCATCTTTGCTCTACTAACAAATCTACCGTGCTGTAACATGAAATTTTATTAGATATAATTACTAATCCTATGCAGCTTTGCGATTTGATTACTGCAACATAGCAAACTGGCTGTCCGTATATTACGGCGGTAAATTTGCTAGACTAGCAGGGTTTTTGATTGTCATAGCAAATCTTTTTTTTCCGTGTGGGATTAAAACACTCGGAGTACAAGCGGCTCGAGCGACGTTCTTCGTAGAGTGAGACTATTCCTGATAACTGCGCTCAACTCTAATTGCGATTAATCGTTCGATAACGTTTTCGCGATTTATCGATTCAATCAGATTCTTTACACCTATTTCAATCGCGTCTCGATCTTCATTCAATAATCAGGGTTGGGAAAGTTACTTCATAAAAGTATCTAGTTACAGTTACAGTTTTATTCGAGAAAAATGTGACTAGTTACAGTTACAAGTTACTAATTCTGAAAAGTAACGCGTTACGGTTATTCAAAAAGTAACGAATCGTTACTTTGCAGTTACTTTCTTGCAATGAAAATAAAAATATTAAGTCTGTAGTTGAACTATAATATAAAGTGTCGATGAAGCCCGGATAGCACAAAGTATTGGCGATATATAAGTATTGGGAAATAATGTAAATGCAATACCGTGCAATTATTGACACGTAACATATGGCGTTACGTTAGCCTTATATTATTAGTTAGGTTCGATATATCCACAAGCGCTAACACCTTTCTTAACGATCAAACTCGGATGAATCTCTCTCACGTCGTGCATTGAATAGCAAACTTAATTTATGTTCACTCAATATTAATTTTCCTAAATATACACATATGTAATTGCACGGTTTTTTTTCGATAATCCCCTCCTCGAGTACTACCTTGTCGTGGTGGAGGGGCTTAAGTACCCTGAAGAGTTCTCTAAAAATCAATCAGTGCATTATCACCGAATCAGTGAATATTTACTGTTTTCAGTGATAATCCATCGATTGATTTTAGAGAGTACATACTCTAAAGACGGGACAACCAAAGGTACCCATTGCTATTTGGGCCCGATTTTTCAGTTTCTAATAAACTGTTGACCATAGTTTAATCGATTCTCTGTCTCTTCTTAGATAATAATATAGAAAAGCATAGAAAGTCGAGTAACTTCCATATTAACAGTTAACCAGAAAATGATAAACCAGGCCTAACACTCTCTGAAAGTTAATCGGTGGATTATTACTGAAAATAACGAATCGATTCACTGTTCTCAGTGATAATTCACCGATTGACTTTCAGAGAGCACATTTATTAATTGATTCTGTTCATTTCAGCACGAACTTTCGAGGACTGACGAATAATTTCGCTATTATTTCGCCAGTTTAAACGAATCGCAACCGCGCGCGGCGATTCGTCGTGTCGCGTCGCGTTCGGGAGTGCCGTTTGTGTAATTAGACTAAAGACTTTCAAAGTGTAAAATCGCGCGAACGATCTTTGTGTGTTCGCGAGTGTGCAAGAAGACAACCTGAGCGGAGGAGGAGGCCTGGGGAAGGCATCAGGCACCGGCGGAGCAACTTTAGGGTAAGTATTTTTTCTTTTGTATAAAATTCATCTTTCTCTTGTTTATTTTTAATAATTTAAAAATTATTTTCTTTAATATTCACTTTCTTGAATACTCTGTTTTAATATGAACTTTATAATTGTATGTTACAGGATCAACGTAGTGAAACTCCGCTGCTGCGCATCGGGTCGGTAAGTCAGAAACTTCTTTATTACGGCAACGAATATACACACTGTAGAAAAAATTACATGTAAAATTACAAGTATTATAGTGAGTATAATGTTCGGACCATCTAGTGAAGGTACATATTTACATACGTCAGTAAATTTACTTCTTGCAAGTAAAATTATTACCTCATATAATAAGTAAACTGCTTGCTTTTGATTGTGTAAATTTTACATTTTTTTTGGTAATTTTTCATCATGTATAAACGAGTATTTACACAACAAAGAGTAAATAAATTTTTTGGTAAAAGTACATACATTTATATATTTCCGTTATTAATAGTCGCTACACTTATTATGCATGTAATTTTACATACGAGTACTTTTTTACAGTGCATCTCGTAGATCGTAGATTATCTTGTATATTCGTTTTATATAGATTGTAGATCGTATATCATCTTGTATATTCGTTGCCTTAACATGGATAGGTTTCAAATGCTAACGGCAAGTAAATTTTTTATTTAATATATTGAAACTCCGAAGAGGAGTATAAGCAATTTTCAATGTGGAAAGTTAGCTGCGCCGTTGCAGAACCAGAGTTAATCCCTGGTTTTCTTTGTCACGGATCCCCGAAAGCAACGGTTTCGGCACGAAGGCGCGACGTCGATTCGCGAAATTAACAAAAAAAAAGAGAGAGAAAATTTTATATATATCCTTCTCAATATATATTCTCCCATTAACACTAATAATAGAAGAATTACTTATATTTCAATAAAAATGAAAATATACGAGATTCAATGATATGAGAAACGATTGTCGTTAACTCACTGCTGAAATGACCGCTATCGGAGGCAATCCGGAAGATCTGGGATTCATTCTTTCCTACAGCGGGGCCTCTAAAGTTCAACGAGTTCAATTTAAAGTTTCTTTCACATTCGTTTAATTTCATAGAGCTCTACAAATCAGGATATGTCGAGCTCATTTTCCATGTTGAGAATCGTTGAATTACATCACAGAACTTAAACGAAATATGGCGAATATTAATGATGTATACTCGTATTCGCCGAGCTAATCTTTTGTAGCCTATCCATTTTCATTAACGAATTGATGTAGTGCATAAAGTAAAATAATATAACGTGAGATTCTAATATGTTTTGTCCAGAACACTGAAATTTTAACTTATTTTTATATATTATTTGCGGTTATTAATTTATTATAATATGCAATTATAATATCGGTTGGAATCGTGAAAGAAGTTTCGTTTTTCTGGATCTCACATCATTTATTATTTGTATGTATGTATGTACATGTACGTGATATACGTAGTTACAAGATGCGTCTCGCATGAATACATGCATAGTCACACGCATCTTTATATTTTCGCGGTCGGTTATCGCGATCGGTTTTTCAGGAAAAATTATCAATTAATTATTTAATTTTATCCATATTATAAATTTTAATTTATCGAGGAATATGATTCAAATCACTCTAACGCGAAGTAAATTTTTTTTCTATATCTACTTGAATTTCGAATTCAAAAATCAAGTTACGAAAAGATGGTTAATATTTTTAAATAAATAACGGAAGTAAAATTAAATTTGATTCGTATATACAGTAAAGTTTTTTTAATTAATATTCTCCTTTAATTAACCTCTCGCGGTCGTGCATTTTGCGATACGATCGACACTCGTATATTCGAACCGTACGAAATATTTGTCGGTGACGCTAACCGACTATGGAAGGAGTTTTCTTCCTTCCTGATCTCTGGTCAAAATGACCAGACTGTATGGCCGGGAGCAACGAAAGGTATGTCCAATCTGGCCCAACGATGGACTAAATACGACGAGGTATGTGGTCAATATTGGCCACTCTGATGGAGTACCTAAGTAAGGTGCTGTACGAAGTATAATATACTTTGATTTCTTTTGATTTGTTACAATTCGGGTGGGTTATGCTTCTATATACATACATTCTCGCATATGTGCGAGAGTGAAACCGCTATTAAATCCCGCGGGCGCGTTAAACTCCAAGTCAAACCCCTGGAAAATCGCGTCGCGTTTAGGTAAAGATTTGTAGGTTTATTATGTTGAAACACGGGTAGGTAGGAATTCGGATAGTCAGGGATAGGGGGACATAATTCGAGAGTTGAAAATATTAGATAACATAAATTATTTCTTTTATTATATTATAAGTGTATTGTAAAGTAAGTTATAAGGAAAATGAAATAAATAATAAAAATGTAAGAAATCAAATTGTAAAGAAAAGAGGACCTTCGATTAAATGCGGTGGAGGGCCTCTATATAGGTCGATTTGTTTCTATCGACTAAAATTTTAGTTCAATTTGACTCACATAGTCTTTTAATCGATAGCTTCGTATGCAATTGATCGATAAATTTGACATTTTGTCCTGAAACATACAATTAAAAGCCCCGTGCGCTCAGTGTAATTTAATACAAACATTGTACAGGATTTTACGCGGACTTTTTCACCGTCATTGAATTTTCCAGCTTAACGCCGTTCTCTCGCGAGCTTTCAACTCGTCAGCTCGTGCACCCTTGATAAATGAACTTGCAATTAGAATTGTCTTAAAAGGATTTACTTGATGTTAAGTTTTCATTTCATTATTGACACAATCGTGAAATCGCTTGTATCTATTGTAATCAAACGCGTAAAACCAAAATTAACGTTTTGCAAAGCTGGGATTAAAACACTCGGAGTACAAGCGGCTCGAGCGACGTTCTTCGTAGAGTGAGACTATTCCTGATAACTGCGCTCAACTCTAATTGCGATTAATCGTTCGATAACGTTTGCGCGATTTATCGATTCAATCAGATTCTTTGCACCTATTTCAATCGCGTCTCGATCTTCATTCAATAATTATCCGAACGGTGATGCTTTATCTCGCCAACGACTCGAGTCATTTTCCATTTTGCTCAACTACGCGGGAGTTTCAATGCGTACCGACGGTTTATCTCTCGTGCGCCATTGAGCCTCCTGGGAGGCTCTTTCCTCCCGTCGTATCTTCCCCGTCTGCCTTCGCCGGAGAGAGCGCGCGCGATTCGCTTCATTCGCGCTTCTTCTTCTCTCCCCAGTATTTCACCGTCACGCCGTGCGGAAGCAAGGAAACTCGCGGATGTGGTTATGCTAAAATATTAGGACGCCACGCGGCTTTGTGTTTCTCATTTTTAAATATTAAAAGGCGCCTGATGTACGAAACTGAATTCGAAAGAATTCTTTTCGCGTGCTCTCCGTATAAATTCCCCAGCATTGTCTATATACGAAACGTAACATGTACAAACGCTTGTCGCGCGTTGAAATGTCAGGGCGCCTTTTTGTCTCTATAAATGTATCTGTCTCCGAGACGGTTTGGATAAATTTATAAATTTGGCGAATGTGAACGAACTACCGCGCCGATTTCTTCCCCTTTAAAGAAACTTAATTAAAAAGTTATAATTTGCAATGACTATTTAATCGAGCGATTAAAGAGTCGCGTTTCATCGTCGTATATTTTTACTATTAAGTTATCGGTTTTAATTAAGTGGACCGCGCGGCATTTGTGAAACGAGGTACCGTTTGTCTCGTCAGAGCGCGAGATCCGAGTAATTAAAATATAAATGCTCGCAGTTTCCAGTTTAGGACTTATTGTTAGCCGTGGAGGGCATCGGGCACGCCTATACCCGTTCGACTAAGAGCGCCGGGTTTTCAGCCCCTCGCGCTTGACTTCTCCGAGTCCGGGGGTTGTAAAGTGCAAAGTTTTATGATCGTTTTCGTTGGATTCGTTCCGCGATAAAATTTCAAGGAGGGAGCGTCGAGAGACGGTGCGTGCGAAGAAGCACGTGCGTGACCGTATCAGGGACCTGAGGCGTGTACTCGCCTTCCTGTTTCACGATCTGAAAATTTATAGTCCCCCCGCGTACGACCAGCCACGAAATCCCCGTGCCACGATGGCAGACCTTTCCTTCTGCTTCCTCTTCCCTTCGAGAGCATATTCGATATCTGCGCGGTTTCCTAACGATCATGGTTATTCAATAAAAAAAGAGACGCGAATATTAGACTGACGTACAGTCCTATTCATTAATGCCTGGACCTCGGTTTTACTAGGAATCACATTTTCATGATCTTTACTCTACATATACATCGATGAGTTTCAGGCTGTAGTTCACACAGCGTTTTATGGAAGTTTTGTGGTAGTACATGAAGATAGCCTGAAACTCAGTGATTTGTATAGATCAGGAATATGATGATAAAAATGCAGGTCCAGGCATTAATAAATAAGACTGTACAAATTACGTGAAACTATTTTAAAGCAGTGTACAGTGATGGACAGAATGGTGGCGAAACTTTCTTTTAAGGGAGCTTAGGAACGTGCATTTAGATTCAGGGTTACGTTCCAAGATCTTCTTCTTCCTCGTAAGGGGATCCTAAAGTTGGCGAACTCGATCAGTGTCGATAAGGTAGGAGACGGAATTGAAAACGTCAATTATCGACATTTTTAATTCCAAGTTCTACTTGAGATGTCACGATGTTCACGATGCTAGAATTCGGTCCGAGAAATTTATAGCCAATCAATTTGCAACTTTTACGAAAAAGCAGTAATCTTATTAGCTACACATTGCTCAGACCGAGATTTTGGATCGAATTCCGGCATCGTCAACACCGTGGCTTTACTGACAATCTGACAGATGTTTGGCAGCGACCCTGTCTCGAAAAAGCCTGCATCTCTTTTTCTCTTCTTCTAGACCTGCGTTTATTAGAAGTAATCTTTTTTTCTAGGCTATTAATCTTAGTTCTAATTGCACGATATTGTTCTGATATGTTGTCGCTAGAGTATGATGCTACATGGTCCCGTTTTGTATATATTTAGTATAGAATTTTTGTATCAAGCAAATATTGTCGTCAAGTGTACCAAAAATTAGTAAATTTTTTTCCGCTTTTGATAAAAGTCGACCAGCACAGTCTAGAGTTTGCAGCGTACTTTAATTCCCTAAAAAATTTTGCATACTTTTAACAAAGAATGTCGATAAAACAGACGGCTTTAGGATCCCCTTGAAGCCTGTTTTATCCAGTTCGCTCTGGTACTTTGGTTTTACTTCATCTTCGGAAGGCTGCTAAACCTTGCCAAAGGAAACCTCCAATCTGAAGGACTCTACTTCTAAAGGGATATGTACGGCAGGATACTCTCGGTCGTTGCCACTTCCCTTCGGGAGATTCCGAAAAAACCAGCGGTGTCCGTGGATTTCAACTCGGATCTTTCCGTTCATTTGTTTGCTAATTGTAAGCAGCGCACATTTCTCTGCGCCACACTCGCCACCTTATAAGATCTCCTTCTCCGAGGAGTGTTTTAGTCGGTGGCCATTCCGAAACCAGTTCTCGATCTATTTCTCGAGTGAAATTGTCCTTAGAGAAAATATTTTGGAACCTGAATCTAAATGCACGTTCTTAAACTCATTAAAAAAAACATGCCGCAACCATCTTGTGCATCACTGTACTAAAGTAATCTATCTAATTGACGTGTAATGATGAAGTCGCACGAATGTCGTATGAAATTGATGTTTTTTGGAAAATTTCCGCGAACATAATAATTACAGTGTGATGATTCAAAAGTGTAAACATTGCTATCTGCATGCTGGCTCGTAGCGCAGCGTACAAATTTTCATGCCTTTTGCCCTGTTCGTTGAGTCGCTCTTATGCGGAAAGTGGCAATATTAATTAGCATCCAAACGAATCCACATTATGCGCCAGCATCAAAGGAAATGTCTGAAAAGCTGTTTTGCAGAGACAACTTACAGAGTGCGTAAAATAATCCATAAGATTTTCTAAAACACTGTGCAATTAACTTAATAGAGCTCACTCCAGGAAGAAGTAATTAATTCTTATCGCACATTATTTCATAACTTACGGAATGAATATCTTGCTCTGAAATAACTTTTCTGTATTTCTAAATAAAAATAAAGCCAAATGAAAAAGCTCCTGTAATGCAGAATTTTTTTTCTCTTGGACGACGTGTCCAAAGTTTTCAAATGCACATGTTTAATGTATAGTTTCGTAGAGAAAGAATAACACGACTGTTGGACGAAATTATCAGAAAATTCTGTTGTAATCGCACATAAAATATGTACCAGCAAATTAATGGGGATAGTTAGGAAACTTTACACAAACTTTACAAACGTTTTCCGCCTTAAATATTCAGTAAAATATTGATTCCTCAACTCCTGCGGTATTATCAAAGTGATAGAAGCCACTTAAAATTAGCTTTCATGCTTGAAGGATTATGCTTAAAAGTCGCTCGCAGATTTTGAAAATCTTTGACTAAGTCCACTAAATCGTCGTGGGAGCGTAAAATCCTCGCGCACTCGGCTGAAACTTTCGTTCGAGCACGTAGCCGAGTCAGATAAATGATAAAAAATCCGCAATTACATAGTATATTGAAACCGTACTTGTAATACAGCAATTCATTACAACGAAATACGCAACATATTTTTTCTGTCGCAACAAATTAACTCTATTCTCAAATATGTGTAATGTGCGCGCGTACGTGCATATGAATTTCTTATTTATTCATTTTCGCTCATTTTATTTTGTCCTTTATGTACTTACACCCTTCGTATAGACGAGTCTCACAGAATCCAATTACAGCGTGTCGATTTACCCAACTCGGCAGAGAAAAACTTTATTTAAAAAGTTTTTATCAAAAGATTTAGCCGATCGGTCAATGGTGCTGGCAATTTAGATTCCCTTCGAGCATGAAATCGATATTTAAGTTACCGGAACTTACCAGATTTCTGTCGAGTCCTCTAAAGTCTCGAGTACGCTTCTCCGCTATAGCCGACTCGAAGATGTAGCATCTTTGGCGGTGGCAGCTCCTGAAACAGACAGTAAACGCGACATTTAGCGACATTTTAATTTGTTGAAGTTTAAATTTCAACATGAACAGGTTAGGATGACAGAAATAGAAGAATGTCGCAGAAAATTTGATAAAAATAACATAAAGAATTATAACATTTAACGCCAGCGCGTGATTAACTGTAGAAAATTGCTGGACGACGCTTGGCTGGCAAATTCTCATTAAAGAAATTCATTGCGAAAACTATTACCTCAGCCAGGGGATTTTTCGCTATGAATTTCTTTAACTAGAATTTGCCGGCCAAGCGTCGTCCAGCAATTTTCTACATTGTTTGATAAAAATATTATACTTTGAAGGATGAAGGGATTGGCCTGAAACTTGAGAGAACAATTCATCGAGGTGATTGCGCACGATCCTTCGTTCACGTGTTCATACTGATATCTATATTTACACGTGTACATATTAATCCTCGTACTATATTTACATTGTAAGTACATAGACGAGTAGCGGCTTCATTAATCAGATTGTCTTCGTGATGTTGTTTGCATGGGATTAGGTAATGTTTGCCGGCCGGTCCTGTTTATCCTGAAGCAAGAATGCTCGAGGAGAACCAACGTGATTCGCGCGAATCCTTTGTTGATCAATAAAATTTGGTGCTTACATAAGCCGGATAATGAGCTTGTGCCCGCTCGGACAGGCTGCGTTAATTACGCTGCATACGCCCACGTTTATGGCTACGCAAGCTTTACATAATTCGCACGTCGCATTCGCTTTTATTGTGCCGAAATGAGTTGCTTTGTGCACATATCATGACGACGCGCGTTAACCGTAAATGCGTCTTAAACTTGGCCGCATGAAAAGCGTAGCGTGGGTTTTAGCGTATTGAGCCCCGTCTCGTATAAAGAGTAATTGACCATATAAAACCTTTTTAATCCTTTCGTAGACCGCCGTTACAAACACAGGGGAGGATTAATGCCTCCCGCTTCTCTCTATTAAAGGCCATAAAGACAACGTAAAGTCGCTTTCGATTTTCTCCCTTTGCGATAAAATTAATCTCTAAGATCTACATATAAATAATACTCTAGATTATCTTTCGTTACTTTGAAAGGAGAAAGAATGCGTACCGAGGACACGAAAACTATTCTCCATTGCAAGTGTAATTATTAGAATGCTTGATCCTTCGTTACCTGGCACACGAGTACTTTGGTCCTATTGTTACGATTCAAAACTGTGACGACTCTATCTCTGTCTTTCTATTCCTTTTCTTTCCTTCCGATGGTTACGCGGTCGATTTCGCAAAGAGAGAAAGATAACATTGTGCCATTAGTCTGATTACGGTTTCGTATTACGCGGCCCGAACACCACCTGAGCTTTTCTAGGATGGCGCTTGGCCATTGTGCGCCCCGGTAGCTCGGGCCGAGAAAGGTAAGCTCGTACGGCTGGTATAAGAAGGCAAAACCACGTGTTCATTAATTTTACCCCTCAAGGCAAACCTCGAGCCGCACAAAGCATGCCCGCGCATTAGCGCGGTTCACAATACGAATAAATATATACCGAGGAGTGAGCGAGCTTTGAGGATGCATTATGCAATAAGAATTCTATTTCGCGTACAGCGAGAATAATTTTTAACCACGTATCGAATGAGAAAGGCGTTTCGCGCCGCGTTAATTAATTAAATCGATCAAACCGGCGTCAAATTAATTTCGTAAAATAATACAAGGGCATTTAGTATAAGTTCGTTATCGGGGCGAATGCAATAAAAGTAGCTTTATTATTCGTAATTCGTGAAAGTATATGAGAAGAGCTAATCCATCTCATTAGTCAACTATTTAATTCGCAATTATTATAATTGTCATTATTACAATTTCGCCGTGGATATTATAACGAAATTGTATTAATAATCACAAATTATCATCTATATCCTGTGTGAAGAATATGCGAAAATATGGTATCTATGTTTCTCTCTAATCTTTCGTACATTCTACTCGTGTATGGACCAATTTTTCTCATTTCTATTAGTGCTAGCGAAATAATGTTAATTTCTGTTTTCTTTAACGTGTTCCTTAAAAAAAGTAAATTAGATCGATAGATTGCAGTATTAATAGATTCTCTATTCAATTTGGAGTCCGCTTGTAAATAAAATGACATTTTCGGTGTTAAAAAACTTAATGTAATTACATAATTTTACATAGCAGTTTTAATTAAATTAATGCAATCCAGAATCTACACTCAATGTTTCGAGTATAGATTCTGGAATGCACTATTCATATTATTTATTTATTAATGATATTAATACGATTAATTACGTAAATGAGAAACATTAAAACATCAGTGCGATTATATATTAATTGATTTACGATAGTTACGCCGGGGAGTAAAAGAACAGCATAATCAACAGCAACCCAGCAAATGTTATAAAAAAAAGTGGAACAAAAATAAAAATTAACAAAATTTATAAGGCGCTCACGTGATAAACACAAATTCGAAGGAGCGAGGACCAAAGAGCCGCGGCGGGATGTTGGTGTCCAAATAATTCTTATTTTAAATTCATTGCGAAAACTATTACCTCAGCCAGGCTTTGAAAATAAAAATATTATCCAGTGAGTATAGCGGCAATAACGGCAATCGATTCGCGATATTTATTAATCATGCAGGAAATTGCCGTGACTCCTCAGCTTCCAGCCCCCGTAAAATTCTCGCGTATCGCAAGTCCGAACGCGCCCCGGTAATTACATCACTCGCAATAAATCAGGGCCGCGCGCCGCTTGGCATTAATTATCCGTCACCGTGTAACTGAACGGTGCAGCGTGGCAAAAACTTCCTTCCACGGCGAGAAGAATGCCTACTCCAATAAAATGCTCGCTGATTTATCATCCGTGGCTCACGTCACGAAACGCGTTGCAGGGACTCGTATGGGTATGACAAAAGTCATCAAAATGAAAAAAAAAGAAGAAAAATGTTTCACCGAGGATATTATAGCGCAATGGATCCCGAGAAACCGCGCTGTTAATCTCTTTTCGCGTAAATCACTATATGTCAAAGATATTGCTTTTTTTTATGGAAAAATACACTCTTGATATTTTAGCAGAAAATAATTCTCTGTACAAGATTTCTATAGAGAAGTTTTTAAATAGAGAGCAGTCTTGATATCTTTCTCTCGTTCCTCTTCCCTTCCGCTGTTTTAATATTAGCGTAAACATTCAGTTAGACAAGTTCAACTGTCGGATACGAATGTAAGTTAAGTTACGTTTTTCAGTATCGATAATATCGATGGCGTCAGTGAATTCGATCATTCGCGCGATAAATAAAGAGGCGGTACTTTCAGAACGCCAGTCAACCCACACATTTCTCGTATCCAATAAATCGTACTCAATTAGCAGTCGCTTGTAGCGCAACAATTCAGAATCAATCAGTCTTTCGAGTGCCATGAAATCGTGGTACGAAACATTTAAGCTTTCACATTTACAAATGACATTACCGGTAATTTTAAAATGCTTTCTGCAATTGCTACGAGAATCGCCGACTGCCACGACGAAAATGGTATTTTGCGATTAAATAATATCGTGCGCGAGCTCATTCGGCAGATGAAGTTCATTTGCCACTCGTAAGTTTGAAAGCCCGCGCAGAACTCGAAAGTTTTAACTCGCGAAGCGCGACACAAGTCGGCATAAAGATTGCTTCGAAAAAAATCATTTATTATGTACTTTTTTTGCGTGGCTGGTGTTTCTCGGCGACTTAGAAAAACGCGAAACTTGCACTCATTTATTAAGACCGTTAAATAATAATAACATAATAGCCAATAAATAATAATTTAGTGCCAAGCTGTAATGAGTAGCGTCATTCGTATCTTGAAGTACTGTACGGTAACGTGTACTCGGGGAAACCCTATTATTTCGCTGGACTGAAGATTCGAAGATGCGAGGTCGAGATGGATTTCGTAGACTTTGCCATTTTGCCGAGTTTGTGGCTTTCTTCCGGGAACTACCGTCTTCCTGTCCCCCCCCCCCCCTATTCTCCGTTCGTGTCTCCTTCCGAAAGTCGCTCTTATTTCGGTTCTTCCAGGCTATCGTTTGTCAGAACTGGTTTGATCAGAGAAAAGTCTGTTATTATCGGGCGACTTCGTGATTGAAAGAGGCAAAAAGAAAATGGAATGGAATTCCGAGTTAATTAACGAAAGCATAAAGGCCGAATATTCTCGGTGAAGCGACAGTTCCAAATAATTTATTGTTTCCTCGTTATCGTCGTTATTTGTAGAAAATAATATTTTCCGAGAATCTTTTTTACCGTAAAGTTAATTACGTGATTATTATTGCGTGACGTCCGCGCGCAAATACTTACGTTTTGGCTGTACGTACAATATTTCCCGAGGGAGACGATAGCCCGAAAGTCCATTATCTCGCCGGGAAGCGTGAAAATTCGAAAGCGCAAATCGAGATGAGTTTCGGGCTTTCGCGGAGCTTGCGGTTCCGCGGTTCTCGCTATCGTTGCCCCCTTTCTTCCCGCGCCTCCCCGCCGCGTCTCTTTTTCACGATGTCTGTCTTCCCCATGCGGGCGCGCCGAATTCAACGTCGCCACAATTTAAGGAAAGAAGCGCCCGGGAAAGAGAGACTGATTTCGAGAGATTTCCCGAAGTTGGCGGAGAGAAGCTTAAAGCTCCGCAGGCGGGAAATGCTGATTCGGAATTCTCTCGGTGGGGACACGAACGCGGCGGGGCGATGCGGTTAGAAGTTTTCGAGATTGTTTGCCGTGCTAGCCGGAATATAAATCGGGCTTAACTCGTCGGTTCCCTTTTCGTATGGTTAGGCAAATGTGGCTTTTACGAGCGCCGGCAAGAAAACGAACGTTTTTAATTCACTCGGCTTTTCATCTCTTCGCGCTGCGTTGCTTGAATTCAACCGGGAGGGAGACACCGTCTACGGCCCCGGTTGTTCGATGTCGTTTATGGAGAATTTCACTTTCATACATTTACATTGTCTTATATATACATTAGCAGCTCAACATCTTAATTGGAAAACTGTA